TTATAGAACTAGTTCTCAGTTAAGCAACGAGTTAATCAACATCACATCCCACACATTAAATAACTAACATAACTGCCTACAGCAGGCAACATTGACAATTTGGGTATTATTACCTAAATTTCCCTCGGGCTCAATAAAGTATATCTATTAAAATTTAAGATTTCAATACCTTTAACTAAATAATTAATTCATAAAAACGTTAAGGTCTTTGTGAGGAGACTGCATCTAATGCTCTCCAAGTCTTTAAGAGCTGGAGGAACAGATATGTTGCAATTAAATATTAGCTAACTGTAAATATTCACCCACATGACATTCATTAGTAGTAATCCTCTCAGCAACTAAAGCTAATGAAAAAAAACACACCAAAGTTTGATCCAAGTTTCAAGTTCAGTTAAGTATACAAGTTTCCCTTCACTCTGTGACTGTAAACAGCTTAATAACCGAGTTAGAAATGAACCTGAACTCACAGAAACTGAGGAACATTTAGTCTGTCAGTATCCAGCACACTGACACCCAGCTAACTCTGAGCTAACACCCAGCTAACTCTATGGCTAATTACAGAACCTAAAGTAATCTATCGTTTTTGTTTGTTTATTTTCTGGATCAAAAAAACTCGAGGTGAGAGACTAACTTGGTTGACCAAATCATCCAGCGACTAATTAACCAGGTTATTTAACTTTTCTTCAGTGGCGCCTCATAAAGTTGACTTTGAACTCTTTCGCTAGCTACCGTTAGCATGTTAGCATTGACTCGCGTCACCTCGTAGAACTCGTCCGTAGCCATGGAGACTGTGCGCGTGCACGACCGGCTTCCAGAAACTTCTTCAGCTGAGCACCAACATGAGCGAAAGGTGAAACCATGCGTTCTCCTCACCTTCGGTCCGTCCGTCTGGTCATAACCAGAAGGTTAGTTAGTTAATCACTGTTAACTAGCTGTTAGCCGTTAGCACACCACCAGATCCACCGAGACATCCGGTCTGACGCTCTGATCTACACAATAAAAGTCTCCGAACCGGAGCTTTATGAAACTGTTTCAACTTAAAATCCAGGTCATACACAGAAGGAATTGTGCGATAAGATTTTAAGAGGTAATTAGTGGATTACATTATATTAAGGTATTTGTATTTACTATCTGCAAGATTTTAGAGGTTTTAAAGAGGTTAAAAAAATTTTAATTCATCAAACCACCCCTACGTGTATGTATATCTCACGAACATTGGTTTTTATTTAAGGTGAAAATGTAATACCCCTTAATCAATGCAAAATTCATTTAAGATATTTAATATATTAAGAGCCCACTGATTACGACACTGCTATTGTTGGATGTGTATCTGGGGGGACGAGGGGGAATACAGGGGGGTTGTTACTGACTTTGTGGAGTGGTGTGAGAAAAATCACCTGAACACCAGCAAGACTAAAGAGATGGTGATTGACCCCCGGTGGAAATCACCAGCACTCACGCCTGTGAGCAGGGCTCAGATATTGAGATTGTGGATGGACACCTTTAAATACCTGGGTGTCCACCTCAACAATAAACTGAACTGGACCAAAAACACAGATGTCTTGTACAGGAAGGGACAGAGCTGCCCGCAGCCTGACCCTTCCTGTTTTTAGACTCAAATAAATGAACACAGGGTTGGCCACATACAGTAGGCTGCAGATCTGGCAAAAGTGCTGCTGCTGCAGACATTTAGTCTGATTGGAAAGTATGAACCTACATACTGAAGGACTTTGGTTCTTCTTACCATTGCTAACTCTGAGAGACGAGACAGTCCAAGTAACTTCAAAACAGTGCTGATTTATTCAAAGGATCACAGGTAAAATTAACATTACACGCTCAGGTATCTTGCACCTCCAAACTGCTCGCAGGCAAATGTAAGATGAAAGACCCTGAACCCACCAGGCCTATACATTATGTCCCTTCGGTTGGGCTAGCCCCATACTACACAGAAACGTCAACCAAGACATCTGAAAGCTATTACCCAGTCCTTTTAACCAGGAACTCAGAGAGACGACGCAGACCACTTGGATATATAAAAAATAACCGTGCTGGTTTATTCAAAGGATCACAGGTAAAATTAACATTACACGTCCAGGTATCTTCCACCTCCAGTCCTGCGCGCAGGCAGACGGAGAATGAAAAAAGCCCCTGAACCCTCATGCCTATCCAATTTTATCCCTTGGTTGGGCTCG